GCTTTTTCTCTCTCCTTGAAATCACTTCAGCACAAACATTTTCCATCATTTTGTATTTTACGTGAAAGTTTACAGCCCAGTTTTATAATTTCATAAATGGTTTTTAACTTTACTATCATAATGGCTAATCAATTAAATGAGATTTAGAAAAATCTCCATGTCGGGATTGCCAATAATCTCTGCAGTGCCTCTAAGATCAATATTATTTTTTGCACAAAACTGAACTTATCCAGCCTTCACAGGCTTCCTCAACCTCGGCCCTCCAGATGTTTTGAGACTACAATTCCATCATCCCTAGACTACAATTCCACCACCCCTAGTCCTGTTAGCTAGGGATCATGGGAGTTGTAGGCCAAAAACATCTGGAGGGCCGAGGTTGAGGAAGCCTGCTTCAAAATGTGTCCTCATTTCCTTTTTTCTGTCTGAATTCCCTTTTGAAGGGAAGCATCAATAAGTCCACTACTCTTTCTTTTCTTTTCTAAGCTCTTTCGTCTTCAAGCAATTCACCAGCAGCGATCTCTTCTACTTTGCTTAGACCTCACCTGAAATATTGTTTCCACTTCTGGGCACTACAGATTAAAAAGGATAGACAACAGGAACATGTCCAGAGGAGGATGATGAAGATAGTGAGGAGCCTGGAGACCCAAGTACAGTGGTACCTCGGGTTAAGAACTTAATTTGTTCTGGAGGTCCGTTCTTAACCTGAAACTGTTCTTAACCTGAAGCATCACTTTAGCTAATGGGGCCTTCCACTGCCACCGAGCGATTTCTGTTCTCATCCTGAAGCGAAGTTCTTAACCTGAGGTACTATTTCTGGGTTAGCGGAGCCTGTAACCTGAAGCGTCTGTAACCTGAAGCGTATGTAACCCGAGGTACCACTGTATTGCACTTCTTAATGCATGCCAGCCTTCCTTCTGGATCGTGTTAGCGAACACCTTCTACCCGAATACAGTGACACCTCGAATTAAGTACAGTGGTACCTCGGGTTACATATGCTTCAGGTTACGGACTCTGCTAACCCAGAAATAGTACCTCGGGTTAAGAACTTTGCTTCAGGATGAGAACAGAAATCATGCAGTGGCAGTGGGAGGCCCCATTAGCTAAAGTGGTGCTTCAGGTTAAGAACAGTTTCAGGTTAAGACCAGACCTCCAGAATGAATTAAGTTCTTAACCCGAGGTACCACTGTACTTAATTCGTTCCGGAGGTCCGTTCTTAACCTGAAACTGTTCTTAACCTGAAGCACCACTTTAGCTAATGGGGCCTCCCACTGCCGCTGCACCACCAAAGCACGATTTCTGTTCTCATCCTGAAGCGAAGTTCTTAACCCGAGGTACTATTTCTGGGTTAGCAGAGTCTGTAACCTGAAGCGTCTGTAACCTGAAGTGTCTGTAACCCGAGGTACCACTGTATCATGAGGAAAAGTTGAAGGAGCGTGGTATGTTTGCCCTGAAAAAGAAGTGGATATGAGTTAGCGTGATTGCCATCTTCAAATATCTGAAGGGCTGTCCCATAAACAATGGAATAAATTTATTTTCTATCGCTTCACAGAATAGGACCTAAACCAATGAGTTCAAATTGAAGGGGAAAGATTAAGCATGAGGAAAATTCCAGATGGCCACAAGTGTTCAGTGGTGGAACAGACTCATGTGGAATGTCGCACACTCTCTGTTAACGGAGGTTTCTCAGCAGAGGCTGGTTACTGGTTGTGGATGCTACACTGGTGGATTGGGAATGTGCTGGATGACCTTTGAGGTCCCTTTGAATTCTATGGTTTTATGCCTGGGTGTAGCCAGGATTTTTGTTGGGGGAGGCAGGACTTAGTTGGGAGGCAGAGCCAACCCAATTGGTCACTTAACTGATTTCTATTGTTCTACTTGTGACATAGTTTTGCTCCCTATTGATCCCCAGAGCAGACCTCAACATATAATTTGTAGAGTGCAAGCTCAAACACAGTGCAGGGTTCCCAAATGACAACTCAGAGGCAATCAGCTCCATTCAGCAGAGTTTACTGAAGGTAAATGAGCATAACAGTTCAGTTCCATAAGCTCAGGATTGACAGGGCAAAAACCCAGCTGCGGTAAGGACTAAAACCTTAGCTCGAAACATACTCTATACAGACCACCACACCAGAAGGAAGGAGACAGACAGTGAAAGCCAGGTTCCTCTCGGCTGCTATTGTACGCAGCATGACTTTGAGATGGAAAGATAACAGGACCAGTTTAAAGCAGCTGCAATCAGCTTCTCTGAAGGAATAACCCAAACGTCAGGAACCTTCTGCTTGTTTCCAGGCGGAATAGAAACTTCAGGCTTGTATCACACAGAGAAGCTTCCAGAACCTTCTTGAATTAAATAGAATAGAAAAGATCTCTACGCTCTAAACCAATACTTTCTGTACCAAAACAATGCAAACCTGACATTGCGGGGGGGGGGGGGCGCTGTCGCCCTGCCCCCCCGTTACGCCCATGGTCCTGTGAACATGGTTGATAGGTGCATGGGAAATGAGAGATCACTCCAGATATATGGAATCCAGAAGCAATTCCAAATAAAAGAAGGACCAAGTATTGGATTTCTCCAGGGTCATACCAAGGAGAGGATAGCAGGGAAATCATGCTGTAAGGGGGCAAATGATTTGTAACCACATAAGGGGCGTAGTGGGATGCAGGTGGCGCTGTGGGTTAAACCACAGAGCCTAGGACTTGCCGATCAGAAGGTCAACGGTTCGAATCCCCACGACAGGGTGAGCTCCCGTTGCTCGGTCCCTGCTCCTGCCAACCTAGCAGTTCGAAAGCACACCAAAGTGCAAGTAGATAAATGCTCTGGCAGGAAGGTTAACGGCGGTTCCGTGCACTGCTTTGGTTCGCCAGAAGCGGCTTAGTCATATTGGCCACGTGACCCGGAAGCTGTATGCCAGCTCCCTCGGCCAATAAAGGGAGATGAGCGCCGCAACCCCAGAGTCGGCCATGACTGGACCTAATGGTCAGGGGTCCCTTTACCTTTAAGGGGCGTAGTCTGGGGGACTGGCAGGAAGTGTGGCCCCAGGCACACAATTTTAAGGGGGTGCAAACCAGACACACACCTCCACACCACCCCGAGATCCTTGTCTTGCCCTGCCTGCCACCAGGGGTCTCTGGACCCCAGGGTGTGACCTGGCTCCGACGCTGCTCCCCCAGCCCCCTTGCTGAACGGCCACCTATGGAGACGGGCAAGGGGTGACTCCAGCATGGCTTGGCCGGGCATTCCTTCATTGTGGGTGTCGAGGGGATTCACCTGCCAAGGGCTGTGTCGGCCGGTTGGGCTCCCCCCTAGGCAGGCAGGCTGGTGGCGCAGCGTGGCCCGTTGACTCCAGTGGCGAGGGCTGGGCTGGCTCCACTCACCCTCCACACCCCGCCACTGCTCACACGTGCCCCGGGCACCGGCAAATGCTGCTATGCCACTGAAATACATGCATTGTTCTGAGCGTAAGTAGGTAGCTGAACAGCCACGCTCTTGAGAGCCCAGTTGAAGCGTGAAGCTGGTTACACCGAACAATGCACAAGCCAGATTGCTGTCTTCCAAACTCATAAATCAGGCCTGAGTTTAGGTTTCTACCTTGCCCGACTTCTCTGACTTCCCTCTATCCTCAATTTTACTGCAGTGCATCAGTGGGGAGAAGGTAAAGTTCAGCTGCCCTTTCCTCTCTCACTGCTTATATTCAGCACAGCTGCTAGACATGTGGATGTGGGCGAGGAGAGGCGAAGTCCGCGTGTCTCGATTCTCTTCTCCAGGCTATGCTGGAATTGAGAGAGAGGAAGGGGGGGCTGGCGAGAGGGGCGGCCGATGCCCCAACCATGAAGGCAGGAGCATGCAGAGACTGAAGGGGAGCACATTGGTATCCAAACATCACAGATCATGGGGGCAAGCTGCGGCCAAAGGGGTGTGTGTGTGTGTGTGTGTGTGTGTGCTGCTTAGGCTTTCCTGGCAGAGCAAAGGAAAGAGGAGTGCGTAGGTGTTGCTGGGGACAAAATGGTCTCTCACAGACCCCCTACTTGTGACACTATTTGGCTGGGCCTTTGGGATGTATTGATGGAACCAAGGCGAAGCCCCTTGGGCATGGAAAGTGGGCAGAAGGGGTAATGGCAATAGCTAAATAAAAAAGCAGGGCTGGCCCACCCATTAGACAAAGTGAGGAAAGTGGGTGGTGCTGTGGTCTAAACCACTGAGCCTCTTGGGCTTGCTGATCAGACGGTCAGCGGTTCGAATCCCCGCGACGGGGTGAGCTCCTGTTGCTCGGTCCCTGCTCCTGCCAACCTAGCAGTTCAAAAGCACCTCAAAGTGCAAGTAGATAAATAGGTACGGCTGTGGCAGGAAAGTAAACGGCGTTTCCATGTGCTCTGCTTTCCATCACATGAATAGGACCTGTTCACTTTTTGAATAAGAAGAATTCTATGTCATGGGGGCCGCAGACATCAGGATTTTAGAGATGCTGAGGTGGGGCATGTCCAAAAACAGGTTTGGAATATGGTTCCCAGACGTCCCCGTTTCCGGGGGAGAGTCCCCAGATTCACAAATCAGTCCCCATCCAAAATCCCTTGAAGTTGAAAAGTGTCCCCGGATTCATTGGGAAAAATCTGGAAACTTGAGTTTGGAGCCCCTGCTGCTCACCGACGTTGCTGGGACTTTCTCTCCCTGAGATGGGAAGGTCGGGGGGGAAACCCAGTAAAAACGGGGGGGAAACCAGGGGTTTTTTTTTCCTGGGAAAATTGAAAAAAACAGTTTGAAAATTCCACACACATTTTTTCCCTCTTCATTTTTTTCCGGGGGGAAAACGGGGGGAAACTGTCCCCCCCCATGTTTCCAGTCCCCCCCCCCCGGCCTTCCCCTCCCTCTTCTCTCTCCCGCCCGGAGCCAGACGACCCTCCCCGCGCTGAGGGGCGGGATGGAGGGAAGGGAAGAAAGAGAGAAAGAGAGAAAGAGGCGGCGGAAAAGAAGGCGGGGGCCGCGAGGGAGGAGCCGCCTTTCCCTCAGCCTCCGCCGCCGCCGCCTTCCCAGCGCAGAGAGGCGGAGAGGCGCGAGCGAGCGGCCGGGACCCGCCAAGATGGTGAGGAGGCCGGAGGGGAGAGCAGGAGGCGGCGGGCGGGCAAGTTCCCCCTCGCCCTCCGGCGGCGCCCACTCAGCTTCTCTTCTCTCTTCTCTCTTTCCCTCAGTTGCCGCAGCTGTGCCGGAGCCTCGCCGTGGCCGCCCTCCTGGCCGGGACAGTCCTGGGGGAGGTAGGAGATGCCGGGCGGGAGGGAGGCAGGGAGGCAGGGAGGGAGGGAGAGGCGGCCTTCCCGGCGCCCCGAGCCCCGTCTCGGGCCGGGAGAACTCGGCGGGCCGGGGGGGAAGGAGGGCCGGGATGCCGAGGCCGCTTTCGGGGAACAAAAGCGGGCGGGAGCAGCTCGGGGCCGCCCTCGGGAGGGGCTTTTCCAGCAAGAAAGAACTTTTCCTTGGCAAAAGAGAGTTTATCCCGGGGCCCCTCGGCTCTCAAACTTCCTCCGTCCTGGAAGTCCGTTCAGAAACCAAAGCGGTCCAAATGCAAGGCGCGCTTTCCCATAGAAAGGAATGCAAAACGGACGGATCCGGTCCAGACTCGGGAAAACAACCCCTCAAACAGCAGTTGAGCGTGAATGCTGCTATCTGAGGAGAGCGCGGATCCATAAAATGAAAGCAAGAAAGGATGTCCTTGCAGGCACGCAGTCAGTCCATCAGGAGCCGAACTGGGTTCCACACAGTCACGAAAAGAGAGCTGCAGCGAGGAAAACGTGAAATAAATAACAAAAACAGACAGACCTCAGTGTAACACTCAAAATGTAAGCATAACGCTCAAAACGGAGCACGTTCGGCTTCTGAAAAAAGTTTGCAAACCGGAACATTTCCTTCCGGCTTTGCAGTGTTTGGGTTCCAAGTTGTTTGAGTCCCAAGGGTATTCAAACTTGAGAACCAGGGTACCACTGTAGTTCTGCTTCCATGTGAAAGAGAAGATGGGTTTCCTTTCTTTTAAGAAACAGCTTTTCTTCTTTCCTTTGGGGGGAAGCCATCCTCCGCTTCACGGTGAGGTCCCTTAAGGAGACCTCGTGAGCGAAATGAGGTCTCAAAGGTCTCCTCATAAAGCCCTGGCGGTGCCACCACCTCCCTTCTTTTAAAAAAAATTTTTTGGAAGCCCTGCTAGAGGATCATCTGCTTCTCCACAAGTATTTTCGCTGGGACTCTTCTCTCTTTCAAAAGCCAAACGTTTTGTTTGACCAGGAATGAAGGAATGGTGTCTGAATCCCCAGAGTTGCAGCCTCCCTGAAAATGAGGTCAGAAGCAAAATATTTGATGATTACGGCTGGGAAATGTGGAAGTGATTTAAAGAAAATAAACTCAAGCTGCTGTGGGCTAGCGGGCAAAAAGGACAGAATATGCATTATGGAGGTCGGAGTTCCCTAGTGGGCTGCCCGCTGCCCTTTTTTTATAGATTAACTGCAGATGGTGAATTCAGATTTGGACCGGTAACAAAACATAAATAAAGGCTTTGGGTAAAAGGTACCGAAATATGGCTCCCCAGTTCTAAGCGATGATATGTTCAAGGGCACTGCTACCAAGTTTAGTTTCCTTTGGATAAGAGAAAGCTGGGTACTTAGCTTGTCATTGTAATCTTTGTCCTGTTCCCCCCTGCAAAACAACAACAACATGCAAAATTATTTAAGTGGAGGCAAAAAGGGGCTTTTACTGCAGGGCAATGTATCCCCAAGGATGACCCCTATTGCAGCCTTTCTTCAACTTCCACTTCCACTCCCCTACCCCCATATTCTACCCCACTCTCAAGTAAAAGCTTCTCCGAGTGCCTGGCTGAATTCCAGCTCCCATTATCCTGGTCACGCTGATGGGAGCCGGAGTCCAGTAACACCTGGACGGCTGCAGGTTCCCCATCCCTGAGCCAAAAGTCAAAGGCAAATAAAAAAGTTTTCACTTGTCACTAGGAAAACTTCAGGCTGGGCACCTGGCAAGGCTCCCTGATGAGAGAACCTAAATTGTCTCCAAAGGGTGTGTTTTAATGTTAATGACAGCTTTTGCAGGATGCTACTGCTGTGCCATCACAGGGAGTAGGAATGAGCCCTGAGTAAGCATAGGATTCCTCCCGAGCTTTGTTCCTTGTTCACCATGCCTCCACCTCTGCCGACTTTTTGTCCTATGTGCTGCCAGTGCTCCACTGGCGTAGGAGTAGAGTCTTCTGCCAATGGAAGAGGGCTGGAATGCCGGTGTTAATTTCCCCCCATGCGCAGTGCTTGAGTTCACCATGTGCAGAGGACTCGGGAGTGATACTGATCAGGAGGTGTAACTTGAGAATAAGATCGTTCTCTCTGCAAATGTTGGGATTCCTTAGCGCACTCTTAAGTGTGTCTTGCTGGAGGGAGTTTTTCTTGGCCACACTCTCAGATTAATCCAGCAGTCTGGTCTGCTCCACTGATCACCACAAGCTCCCAAATTGGGGAAATTGTAACACAGAAATTCCTCTAATGTCTTTGAAAGCAAGCAGCTTTTTCACCACTTGGTTTGAGCTGCTTTTGTGCAAAACCTTTCCAGTATGTAGCCGAGAAAGAATGTGCTACATATTGTGACCTCTTTGGCTGCAATTTGGCAGAAAGGTGCTTAGGAGTCTGGAAAATGTGACAGGTTGTGAGAACTCTTGGCTGTTCCTGAACAGCTCTGGATGCTGTTGTTGGCAAGGATGGTAATGGCAAGGTGAACAAGAGCGCCTTTGATCAGTAAATTCCTTTATTTACATAAGAAAAAGGTTTGTAACCAGAAACCATATAATCTTCCTGCCAAAGTAACAGTACATCAGTTTTTCATCACATTCGTAAAATGGTCAAGACCAGGCTCTGGACCTGTCTTACTGAGTGCAGCTGTGTCTGCCTGTTCATGCCTTTGCTAAAATGGAATTGTTTAATCTGCTCTTAAACAGGAGGTAGCTTTTCTTGTAAAGGAAAAGCTCATGCCACCTTTGTTGGTATTCACTCCCTGGAGCCTTGAGTAGGCAAGCAAACATTGATCCGTGGCTTCAATGCATGGTGTCTGGACCTGGGTGAACAGTGACTGTTTCGGGAAAAGGGTTTGGGAGAAAGAGAGTGGTGCTCTTCAAATGTTCTTGCTTCAACCTCCCTCCTGCTGTGATGGAGGCAATACGTCCCCTGGCCCTGTAGGGAGTTGCAGTGGGACTCTGTGGGTGCAGTGACTGTTCTGTTCTGTGTGGCCAGGCTGTGATGCAGCAAGGGAGAAAGTCCTCCTGAAGGCTTGGCTTTCACATCCGTTGTTGGAAGGGGGGGCCTGGCACTCACCAGCAGAGAGCTTTCCAGCTGACCCTTACGTCTCCGATGTGGAAGAAGCTGATCCCAGCTGCTAAGGGGAGGGAGTATTGCTCCACCAGTACAGTTTGGTCCAGACAAAGTTCTCACGTGTATCAGAGAGTTGGTGGAGGGAGAGAGCTCTGCAGTAGTTAAACTTTGCAATTTCACATCCTCTTGGAATAAGGAGACAGTTACGAATGCCCTTATCCTGTTGACCAGTCCCCCTGGCAGCTTTTAGAATCGCTCACAGCAAGGAGGTCTCTCCCCTCCAAGGATCCTGTCTGTCCATTTCCCTGGGCTGTGCAAATAACCACCCAAAGTGGGGGGCGTGAGCATTAGAAGGGCAGAACAGGAAAAAAACTATCTAAATAAATAAATGAAATCAGATAAGCAGGAGCCAAAGTTATGTCAACTAACTGACCTCTGTGTCGGCATGCAACTGGGGAAATTCATCTGTAAAGTGTTGTGCAAATTGGTCACAAAAGGCTACTGAGTGGACCAAGATGTAGCAGGACTTTTGGCTGCTTGAAAAAGCTCCATTGGGCAACTCTGTGCAAATGCAACAGTGGCAGAGAAGTGCTATTTCTTCACAGCCATCACTCCTACAGAGCTCAAACTCATTCCAGGTCAAAAAACATCGCCCCGCTTGTTTCATCAGGCACACATCAGTCAGGAGGTACTTGTAGTGAACAACTGATGAAGGGACAAGGCTGCCATCTAGCTGTTTTTCCAAATCAGTTCTCAGACTCCTCCCACATCCTTCGATGATGCTCCACTGCCATCTTTTGGAGCCTGAGTATCCTGGTCCACCAGACCAAAGCAGAGCAGGTATACTGAAGGACGACATCAAAAATGCCAGAGTGATCAGTTCTAGCGCTTTTTAAAAAAAAGAAAATGTAAGCTTGCAGCATAGACTGCACAGTCCCATTGCCTTTACAGGTGCAGGACGGACACTGCAACTATGAGAGGTTGCCGTGACTAGTCTGCGCCCAAGCAAACGTTTTTACATTCTTTGTACACAAAGCAGCATATGCCACTTTGGGCAGGACTTTGCATCACTTGACCTGATGAGGGCATAGGTGGCAAATACCCAGATCTTCTAGATAGTCCCCCTTTCTGGGCTCAGAGCCCAGCACCCCAAGCCCACAGATAAGGTTAAAGCAAGCCAGTTAGCTTATATCAAAGCAAGTGAATACAAACATATATTCATAAACATTAACATTCCTGCATTGCAGCGGGCTGGACTAGATGACTCTAGGGATCCCTTCCAACTCTACAGTTCTATGATTTTATATAGGAGCTCATCATTACAGCAACTATCAATTAATTGTGGGGCTATCTTGATTACCAAGATGCAGAGCTTCTGGAGCAGTTCACTCTGGGTTCAACACACTGAGTGAATCTGTAAGTGCCTTAACTTCTCCAAAGTGTGTTAGCAACACACCTTGAATGTGTGTGTGAGAGGGAGTTGTGTGCACATGCAGGAATGTGGCTTCCTGTGCATGGAGATGTTCTGCTTTAGTTGCCTCCCTGATCTGTTTTTTTTTTTTATTTCAGGGTCATTGTCACTGTTTTGGTCAGAGGGCCAATAGTGTGGCCCTAGTAGTGCTATTTTGATTTTTGACCTGGAATTTTGATCAGTGCTGTGAATAAATTTAGTTTTAAAGATGGTCTTAGGAAGAAATCATAACCACATTTACTTGAGAGAGAGCCCCACTGAACACAGTGGAACATACACCTGAGTAAGCATACTTAGGCATGCATTGTGTTGCATGGACTCGATGGCCCTTGTGGTCTCTTCCAACTCTATGATTCTATGATTCTATGACACACACCTGCCATTAGCAGTTGTGTGTTTGCTGGTTGAAGTGGTAGATGTCGAACACATGTGAGGTGAGGCTGGATTGCTGGTCTGCTCCTAGCTGGCATTAAATAATATAAGGTCTGATCCTGAAGAGCCAGACTAAGATGGTACAGGTTCTATGAAGCTCACTGCTGTCTGTCAGGGTTGCAGTGATTATAAAATGGAGGAGAAGCCACGTAAGCTGCCTTGAGCTCCTTGGAGGAAAGGTAGAATATAAATGTAAAGAATAAGGTGGTTTGGGACCAGTTTTCTGGGAAGGCTTCAGAAGAACTGAACTGCAAAACGGCTGGTGAGGAGGGAAGAAAAACCCTTCTGCAGAGTGACCTAAGCCTAGGTCAGGTCCTGGCCTGCTGCCTGATCTTCACTTCTGTTTCGAGAGTTCTTGTATCAGGCTGGAGCTTTTGAGAATATTAAGAATATGCAGATTCAGTGTTCTTATGTGACCTTTTACATAAACAATTCGATGCCTTCAGATTGTTCCAAGAGTGGGGTTTTTTTAAAAAAATAGTCTAGGCATTTAGCATTAGGTCCTCCTTAAAATGTTCTCTGATTTCCTAAGTTTAGCACATGGAATGGGTTTTATTTTTTAAGTTTGTAGCATTTTAATATTTTAGTAGAGGCACTGCAAGGGGAGGAAGCTTCCAGCATTTGATTTTCCATTGTCTTTGTTGCATTCATGTGGTTTCAACTGTTTGGTGCTAGAAAAGTTTCAAAAGCTGCTAAGAGAGGACTAAAAACATTGCTGTGACTTTCCTTGTACATATTTGCAATATTGCCTTTTAAAGGGCATTCCAATCTTCTGACAGGGCAGGGGAGCTGCATGTTCTGCTGTTCTGGGTTTGTGCAGCCAGATCCTTTGGGAGGTTCTTGCTCCTTTGAAACAATGGTCTCAGCCCCTGTGACCATGTAACTCTGGAATGCTCTGATTGGCCAGCCTCCTGGAGACTTGAGGTCTGGCTGAATAGGCAGCGACCTCGTTCCTCCTGGGGGTGTATTTTGCAGTTGGTTTTTGTTAGAAAGTATGAGAGCCAAGAATGCAAGATGTAAGATGGGTGGAGTTTGCGCTTGGCTGGTCTCGGAAAGTGAAGCAGGGTGGGGAAACATTTATGACAAGCTGGGAAAACATTGTCAGAGTTGGACATTTTAATACAGAAGCTTCGTGGGGTGCTTGAACTAATAGACTCAAAGCTGTTATTTCCCCTTTGCTCAGACTGTTGTGAAGGGGGTTGGCAGTAATGCCAGTCTCCTTGCACTCCAGGTCACAATTGTTGTTGTTGTTTAATCGTGTCCGACTCTTTGTGACCCCATGGACCAGAGCACGCCAGGCACTCCTGTCTTCCACTGCCTCCCGCAGTTTGGTCAAACTCATGCTGGTAGCTTCGAGAACACTGTCCAACCATCTCGTCCTCTGTCGTCCCCTTCTCCTTGGGCCCTCCATCTTTCCCAAGGTGGCCAATGTCTTGGAGCCTCAGCTTCAGGATCTGTCCTTCCAGTGAGCACTCAGGGCTGATTTCCTTCAGAATGGAGAGGTGTGATCTTCTTGCAGTCCATGGGACTCTCAAGAGTCTCCTCCAGCACCAGAATTCAAAAGCATCTATTCTTCGGCGATCAGCCTTCTTTATGGTCACAATAACACACACATAACCACAGATGCACAGACCTGGCCCTTCTGTTTTGAGAGATGACTCTGAATCAACAATAAATACTTCCCTGTCTAATTTGAAAAACGCCCCTTGGTAGCCTTAATATTTTCTGTGGTTATTCTAGTGCATCTTGGCTTGTGAAATTTTGCTTAGAGAGCAGAGGTTAACTTTTCTGTTTTCTCTGCTTCTCCGACCAACTTGTGCTAACGGGTGGGGAAGCTGTGGTTCTCCAGATGTTGTGGGATGGCAACTCCCATTAGCCCCAGCCAGCATGGCTGACAACATCTGGAGGGCTGCTGCTTCCCCACCCCGACTAATTGGCTTGTCATGGCCCATCCTCTCAAAGTGGACTTTTGCCAACAGGAGCTCACAGCCTAGTGCTTTAACTGCTGTGCTTCCCAGTGAATAAGAAAGACACCCTTTGTTCAATTTTAATTTTGAGAAAGATATGTTAGGACAGCAGCAGATCGGATTGATGGAAAAGCTGCAACATTTAAAGATGTGCATGTAACCACGTAGTTTAGAATCCATTTTCTGGCAAAGGCACTGAGAAGGTGTCAATAACTTTTTGATTGACACCTGCCAGCTAAAGTCAACAAATCACCCACAAAGGCTTGTTCAATCTGCTAGTGATCTGTGGCTCTTCTGATATTTCTGGATCTTTTAAGATCTGTGAGAAGGTTGCAGTTATTGGTTGCTGTTTGTGGTTTTTACCTCTTAAAGTTTTTCTTTCATTGTTGGCCACCCATAACTTTTATTATTGGGCAGGATATCAATGTACAGTAGTAGCTAAATAAAAGACACAGTCTTTATCTGAAGAAGGCTTCTCCCCCCCCCCAACAAACTATTTTTTTCTTGTATGCTTTGCAGGAAGAGCCGATGAGCAAATCTAAAATCTGTGCTAATGTGTTCTGTGGGGCTGGCCGGGAGTGTGCTGTGACAGAGAAGAGTGAGCCCACCTGTCTCTGCATTGAGGTAAGCGAAGTCCTGGGACCGACCGCTGAGATCAAAGGCTGATGTCATCCCAAATGTGGAGAACCAGCACGCCTAGTGGTAGTGGCTGATGTGTGCTCCCTCCTGCTTCCTCTGTGGTCCTAGGGATTTTCTGCCCAGCCTTCTTGGTTTGTTGCATGTACAGCAGTACCTCGGGTTACATACACCTTGGGTTACAGACGCTTTAGGTTACGGACTCCGCTAACCCGGAAGTAGTACCTTGGGTTAAGAACTTTGCTTCAGGATGAGAACAGAAATCGTGTGGCCCCATTAGCTGAAGTGGTGCTTCAGGTTAAGAACAGTTTCAGGTTAAGAATGGACCTCCAGAACGAATTAAGTTCTTAACCAGAGGTACCACTGTATGCTTCTTTTTTGCATCAATGACTCAAATCTTCTCTCAAGGTAATTCTTTCATTGTACAGTGGTACCTCAGGTTACATACGCTTCAGGTTACAGACTCCGCTAACCCAGAAATAGTGCTTCAGGAGGAGAACAGAAATCAGGCTCCGGCGGTGCGGCAGCAGCGGAAGGCCCCATTAGCTAAAGTGGTGCTTCAGGTTAAGAACGGACCTCCGGAACGAATTAAGTTCTTAACCCGAGGTATCACTGTAGCAACATCACATTTCCTGAGCACTTAACAGCACATCCTATTATGGTGCTTCCCTCCAAAGCATTTTGATATTCTGACTGGTATGTGGAGTATACTTAGCAAACCGTCATAAGCACCTATTTGATGCAGCCTGTGACTGTGATTATCATTATTACTTGTTGTTTCACTAATGTAGGTTTCCCTGAGGTGCATTTGCCTACAGTATATATTGCCCACATTATAGCAGGAAGCGATAGAAGAAGAGGAGGGAGAAGATGTAAATAAGCCCAAATAGAGGGAGACTAATGCTTTCAGTTCAGTAAGTTACACGTAGTGGGGCTTAGTTTTCCATAAAGGATGAGAACTAAAGCAATAAGCCACGGGTAGGCAACCTAAGACCCGGGGGCTGGATCCGGCCCAATCGCCTTCTCAATCTGGCCCACGGACGGTCCGGGAATCAGTGTGTTTTTACATGAGTAGAATGTGTGCTTTTATTTAAAATGCATCTCTGGGTTATTTGTGGGGCCTGTCTGGTGTTTTTACATGAGTAGAATGTGTGCTTTTATTTAAAAAGCATCTCTGGGTTATTTGTGGGGCATAGGAATTTGTTCTTTTCCCCCCCAAATATAGTCCCCCCCCCCCGGTCTGAGGGACAGTGAACCGGCCCCCTGCTGAAAAAGTTTGCTGACCCCTGCAATAAGCTAAAACAGGGATAATCAGTGCTTTTTTTCTTTAAAAAAATGTTTAGGGGTACTCACATTTTTATTCAAGAAAATCACCATTTTATAGTTCAAATCAAGGAAAATAAATATAGTAAATGGACAAAAGTACAAAGATTCACGAAATGTTTAGGGGTATGAGTACCCCTGCGTCCCCCCCCCCCCCAGAAAAAAGCACTGGGGATGGCTAAAGGCTCTGTGGAAGATTTGAGGAGGGATTTGAAGAATGAGAGGGCGGATGTCTTCTAATCAGGGAAGAAAAACAAGCGGCAACAGTGTATGCATATGATTTTATCCTGTATGTCACTTGCCCTATGCAGGCCCTCCCTGAATTAGTTTAAGAATTCATGAGCTTTGGGACAAACTCAGACTGTAAAGTTAATCTCATCAAAACCTAGACATGTCTGGATCCTTTGTTTCTGTTTGTTGATGAATTATTTCTTTGTGCGTTGTAACCCTTGATCCGACTACGTTTCCCCACTGTGGTGCCAATCCAAACTGGACCCCACATGTCTGCTATTTGTAGTGGGTGGGGAAGTTCCCACTATTCAGGAAGGAAAATCCTGCACTCAGGGGCAAACTGTGATTTATGTAAGTTGTAGTTTGGCCTTCCCTCTCAAGCCCTCCTAATTTATATTGCCTGTGTGAAACTGCTTATCTTTATGCCCCGTGTGTCTCCTTCCACCTTAGGGGGCCTAGTTATATTGGATCTGTCATTTTCTTTTTGTTGCTGCTGCAGAGATGCAAGCCTCACAAAAGGCCAGTTTGTGGCAGCAACGGCAAGACATACCTGAACCACTGTGAGCTGCATCGTGATGCTTGCCTCACTGGCTCCAAAATTCAGGTGGACTATGATGGTCACTGCAAAGGTAAGTCAGATCCTTGGGGCTGGGGTACCCCTGGAACAGCTACTACTCCAGTAAGTCCTGGGTTAGAGGACATTCAAATTCAATCCAGCTTTGGGAATTCTGGCACCAGATAAACATTTTGGTTTTTCAAAGGCACATGACTTAATGTGCCACAAAATTCCCTGCCTGTTTCCACTGAATATTGCTGCTAAAGAGTGTGTTGGATCCTGTATACCTGAAGGTCCTGTATACCTGAAGGAGTGTCTCCACCTCCATCGTTCAGCCCGGACACTGAGATCCAGCACCGAGGGCCTTCTGGTGGTTCCCTCGCTGTGAGAAGTGAGGTTACAGGGAACCAGGCAGAGGGCCTTCTCGGTGGTGGCGCCCACCCTGTGGAACACCCTCCCTTCAGATGTGAAGGAAATAAGCAGCTATCCTATCTTTAAAAGACATCTGAAGGCAGCCCTGTTCAGGGAAGTTTTTAATATTTAACACTGTACTGTTTTTAACACTTGATTGGGAGCCGCCCAGAGTGGCTGGGGAAACTCAGCCAGATGGGCGGGGTATAAATAATAAATTATTATAATAATATTGTTATTATTGGATGGCCCCAGAAGTGAGGGCAACAAAGCAAGGAGCCGGTTGTCACTGTGACATAAGACTTTTGACCCAGCCCATTGCAGTGCAGCCCTGACTGTGGCGCACTACGGTGAAAAAACATCGCTCTCTGGTCTTGTGAGACAGAATAGTAACAAGGAAATAGAGGAAGATATGGGAAGTAATGTCAGTAGTAGGTGGAATTTACAATCTGCAGTCAGCCATACCAGGGATGATTTCCCTGGAGCTTGGCTGAGTGTTTTGTGGCCGAACTCGGGTGAAAGTAGGAGCCCTAGATGAACAGCTGTATGTGCTACTGAGTCCTGCCACATGAACGTTCCTTGCAATACTGTAAGGGACAAGCTGTTCGTTTACAATACTTATATTTCCACCTGACCTCCAGTGCAGCTGACAGTAAGTGGGAAAACATCATCATCACCATCATGTTCCAGAATCAAAAGTTGGGCAATACTTATTGGAGGGTCAACCAAAATGTCAAGAAAAGGATGTTAAACTTTCGAGTAGTTTCCTCAAGGGTTGCCAGTGCCGTGCCATGTGAGCACCATTGCACTTGAAAATGCCTTTATTGATTCCTCTAGGCAAGACACCCAGACTCTGAACTAGGGCGGTGGGTGGGTGGGGGGAGCCCTATTGCACACGGAGAAATTAATTGAATTGATGGGATGGGTTAGTTGAATACTGCCCCCCACCCCCAGCATTGTCTGGGGGGAGATATGAGGTGTACTTCAGGAAAACCATAGACCATTACAGTACCTTCAACCTGAAGTTTTCTTATTTCTTTCTGTAAATAGAGAAGAAGCCTGAGAACTCCGCTGCAAGTCCAGGTAAATATGCCTTTGCCTGTGCTGTGCAGTCTGTGGGCTGTTCCTCATGTTTGTTGTTGTTGTTGTTTAGTCATTTAGTCGTGTCCGCCTCTTCGTGACCCCCTGGACCAGAGCACGCCAGGCCCTCCTGTCTTCCACTGCCTTCCGCAGTTTGGTCAAACTCATGTTGGTAGCTTCAAGAACACTGTCCCACCATCTCGTCCTCTGTTGTCCCCTTCTTCTTGTTCCTCATGTTACATTTGTTCAATATAGGTCAAAGGGAAAGTGTCCGAATGCCCTTCAAGTGCAGATCCTGTCTGGAAAAGTGTTTACAGGGGTTAAGCTACGTTCTATGTCTTGAGCTGCAGTATTTACTTCATGTGCAAAATTCAAGGATAAGGGAATTTGTGTCTCTCCCCCTCCCCCCAATTTACCTTTTCTTTTCTGTTTTTAGTCTCAGTTCAGTTGTAGTTGGCTACTGTGCCTCACCAGGCTGGTAATAAAAAACAACAACAGAAATGTGCCAAGTAGAATATGAAAAATGAAGCCTAGCTGGTTGACTGAGGATCAGTGGATAATGGCAAAAGAGATTTTGCCTTCTGTCTGCTCCTGAACTGTCACCTTTAATATTCTGGATTGAAGAAATAAAACATAGAATTTATTTTGTTCATCTTGCCCATTAAAAATAGCACTGTGCATAATCAGTGGTGGTTTCTCATGTGCCTCAACAGCAGAGGAAAATAAACATGGCCTCTCACTCCATAAGCTGGGAGTCTACTGATTTCTGATCCATTTTCCACTTGAGATGAAGAGACGTTGCATTGCTTCTTGCCTGCCATCTAGCTGTCTCCCCCACTTTCTGACATTCCTGGTCCAACTCTCTCCTTTTCTTGTCGCTCAATAGTTGTCTGTTACCAGACTGACCGGGACGAACTCCGGCGTCGTGTCATCCAGTGGCTTGAGACTGAGATCATTCCTGACGGCTGGTTCTCTAAAGGCAACAACTACACTGAAATCCTAGACAAGTACTTCAAGGTACAAATGGCAGGAGAAGAAAAATAGACATGGTGAACTGATGGAAGAGGTGGTTAGAGATTTGCTTCATAGTATTAGTGTGAACTTTCCTGAATCACTAATTTGTTTGGCAAACTAGCTTGTGAATATTATACATTCTCACCACTGCCTTTAGCCTTCACTTGCTTTTCTATATTTACAAAAGAGATGTGATCAGATTATAGGCTTCTATAATAAACCCTGCATTAGATCTTCAATCACGATGGTAAATGAATGAGAAATCGTCAAGTAAACACATGGCTAATTCAGAAGGCAAAACAGCTTCGTGAGAGTCACTATTACCATATTATAGATTATTCTGGCCTGTATATTCATGTTGGATAAACTGTTATTTCTCAACAAAACAATTATGCCTGATTTGCAGATAAATGTGCAAGACTTAGCTTAATACTCTCAGACAACAGCGGGCCCTGGGGAGGGGGGGTTGGAACTGTGTCAAGTATAATTCAGTCTCCCACACAATCTAAAAATAACTAACAGTGTTGGGACCCTTTCAATAAGACAGAAAATAAAGCAGCTTACTATGGAAAAAAACTGTAGAGGTCTGAGGCAGCGAAGTCAAGCTAATCAGATTTGGGAGAGAATTTTTCCCCCACTGCACATATGGCTTTCATTCATTCAGACCTGAACATGAGCAAGTTGTATCCAGCAAGTCATCCCCCTAAAAGGAAAGCGTCAAGCTGTAGTCTCTAAACTTCAGTGGCCATCAGGGGTGCCAACTTGAATAAAATATTGTGGGGCCCCAGGGAAGTCCCGCCATGCACAATCAACCATGTGGCGCAGTGCACACATCCCATTTGTATGGGAATGCCCATCAACTTTGTGGAGGGCCAGACCCCCTCAAATATTTTATTGTGGGGTCCGAAGCCCCTACAGCCCCCTAGGAATTGACTCCTCTGGTGGCCAGTATGGCCATATAATACTTCGTATGCTGTCTCAGTTACAGTTGAGGTGATTAAGGTACTTGACAAATAAAGATCAGGCAGCAGGGGGTGGCGAACAGTGAGACTGTGCCACTCACCTGACTGCTGTTTGGCTAAGTCGCTCCAGCGTAGCCAGGTGGGGAAAGGGAGCAATGTGATGGTAGCTGGATTGCCAGAGACCAGACTGAGGATTACAGCTCTGAAGAGGAATGGCAGGAACCTTCCCCTCTTCCTGCTCCTGACCAGGATCCTGAAGCTGCTCAGGAACAGTGGAGCAATATAGATTTAGAGAATTGGTTTGCTGAGGGACGTAGTTCAGAAAACAACAGCTGGGAAGAGCTGAGTGAGGAACAGCTAGAAGAAGCAGAACAGGAGAAGAGAGAACCGACTCCCCTTCGCTAGAGAGGGTCCAGCCTATCTTTCCAAGGGCAGGGAGAGCAGGTAAGGTTGCTACGCCGGGGGCTCAGTGGTTGCGAGATCAGGTTGCAAGAAGGGGAAGTGACGATGACTCAGGGGGAAGGAGGAGGAAAACGTACATGGGGAGCACCTCCGCTCTGAGAATGGCTGCTGTGTTCTTTTGCTGTGATCATTAAACACTCTTAGAATCATAGAATCATAGAATCATAGAGTTGGAAGAGACCACAAGGGCCATCGAGTCCAACCCCCTGCCAAGCAGGAAACACCATCAGAGCACTCCTGACATATGGTTGTCAAGCCTCTGCTTAAAGACCTCCAAAGAAGGAGACTCCACCACACTCCTTGGCAGCAAATTCCACTGTCGAACAGCTCTTACTGTCAGGAAGTTCTTCCTAATGTTTAGGTGGAATCTTCTTTCTTGTAGTTTGGATCCATTGCTCCGTGTCCGCTTCTCTGGAGCAGCAGAAAACAACCTTTCTCCCTCCTCTATGTGACATCCTTTTCTATATTTGAACATGGCTATCATATCACCCCTTAACCTCCTCTTCTCCAGGCTAAACATGCCCAGCTCCCTTAGCCGTTCCTCATAAGGCATCGTTTCCAGGCCTTTGACCATTTTGGTTGCCCTCTTGTGGACACGTGCCAGTTTGTCAGTGTCCTTCTTGAACTGTGGTGCCCAGAACTGGACACAGTACTCCAGGTGAGGTCTGACCAGAGCAGAATACAGTGGCACTATTACTTCCCTTGATCTAGATGCTATACTCCTATTGATGCAGCCCAGAATTGCATTGGCTTTTAAAGCTGCCGCGTCACACTGTTGGCTCATGTCAAGTTTGTGGTCAACCAAGACTCCTAGATCCTTTTCACATGTACTGCTCTCAAGCCAGGTGTCCCCCATCTTGTATTTGTGCCTCTCATTTTTTTTGCCCAAGTGCAATACTTTACATTTCTCCCTGTTAAAATTCATCTTGTTTGTTTTGGCCCAGTTCTCTAATCTGTCAAGGTCGTTTTGAAGTGTAATCCTGTCCTCTGGGGTGTTAGCCACCCCTCCCAATTTGGTGTCATCTGCAAATTTGATCAGGATGCCCTTGAGTCCATCATCCAAGTCGTTGATAAAGATGTTGAATAAGACCAGGCCCAAGACAGAACCCTGTGGCACCCCACTAGTCACTCTTCTCCAGGATGAAGAGGAACCATTGATGAGCACCCTTTGGGTTCGGTCAGTCAGCCAGTTACAAATCCACTGAGTGGTAGCATAGTCAAGACCGCATTTTACCAGCTTCTTTACAAGAATATCATGAGGCACCTTGTCAAATGCCTTGCTGAAATCAAGGTAGGCTACATCCACTGCGTTCCTTCATCTACCAGGCTTGTAATTCTGTCAAAAAACGAGATCAGGTTAGTCTGACATGACTTATTTTTCAGAAATCCATGCTGACTATTGGTGATCACAGCATTCCTTTCTAGGTGCTCACAGACTGTTTGCTTAATGATCTGCTCCAGAATCTTCCCTGGTATTGATGTCAGACTGACTGGGCGGTAATTATTTGGGTCCTCTCTTTCCCCTTTTTGAAAATAGGGACAACATTTGCCCTCCTCCAGTCTGCCGGGACTTCGCCTGTTCTCCAGGAATTCTCAAAGATGACTGCCAGTGGTTCTGAGATCACATCTGCCAGTTCTTTTAATACTCTTGGATGCAGTTGATCTGGCCCTGGAGACTTGAATACATCTAAACTAGCCAAGTATTCTTGTACTATCTCCTTAGTTATTCTGGGCTGTGTTTCCTTTGCTGAATCATTTGCTCCAAATTCTTCAGGTCGGGCATTGTTTTCTTTATCGGAGAAGACTGAGGCAAAGAAGGCATTGAGGAGTTCAGCTCTTTCTGTGTCCCCTGTTTGCATTTCACCATCTTCTCCTCTGAGTGACCCCACTGTTTCTTTGTTCTTCCTTTTGCTACGGACATACCCATAAAAGCCTTTTTTGTTGCTTTTAACCTCTCTAGCAAGCCTGAGTTCATTCTGTGCTTTAGCTTTTCTGACTTTGTGTCTACACGTGCTGGCTATTTGTTTGAATTCCTCTTTGGTGGTTTCCCCCCTTTTCCATTTTTTGTACACATCCTTTTTTAATCTTAACTCAGTTAAAAGTTCTTTAGATAGCCACCCTGGCTTCTTTAGGCACCTTCCATGTTTCTTAAACTGGTAAGAGACTCTAATCGCTTTGTTCTGCTGATGCATGGCCAAAGGTGCATCTCTGAAGCATGGCATGAATGCTCACAGAACAAACACACTGATGGAGTCAGTCCAGTGTTCCTCCTAGTGCGCTGACACCACACTAGCCTTGCCACCACTATCCTCCTCCCCCTCTGCAGCGATTCACCTGCATGGAAGTCAGGTGAGCGACACAGCCCCTCCATGTCATCTGCTGCTACATTCAAGTGAACAAGTGGTGGAAGTTGTGAAAGGAAATAGCTAATGGTCCACGGAAGCAGCGCTGTTGTTTTCAGCCTCTCTTTCATGCTGCTTTGTAGAATTTCGACGATGGGGATTCTCGCCTGGATTCCAGTGAGTTCCTGAAGTTTGTGGAACAAAATGAGACAGCGGTCAACATCACCACCTACGTGAATCAAGAGACCAACAAGCTGCTCAGGTAGCGTGGGGCAGAAATCAAAGCGAATGAGATTCAAACTACAAACGGCACTTAGGTTCATGATTCTTTCCTCTGATCAAATTGGGACCCGTTCCAGATCTAATTAGGCCCACCCCTCCCTTACAGGAACACAAGCAAAAACAGTGTGCTGTTAGCTTGTACATATCACAGGGTGGTTCTAGTCATGATCTGGAATCCTGCTGATTCAAACAGTAGACAAATCTGTCAGAAAGCTCCCGTTCTTGGCCTTTGCCGGGCAAAAAACCTTGTCACCTATGCTTTGAAAGCAGCAAGACAAATGGCCAAGTATTTGAACCTAACCCTACATTCCTGTTCTTCTGCATTTGCCTGTAAAAGTGTTTAGTAACTGCCAGTGATGATTGTGGAACTTGTCAAGTTACCTGAGAAGGAATAGTTGCTCATGTTTAGACCATAGGAAGAATCAGCAGCCATTGAATGCCGATAATCTGGTGGGCTGCTTCACATGTTCAGAAAATCCAAGTGAAACGATTTGACAACATTTCATTGTAAACATGTTAGCCATTCCTGCTTTGCTGTGATGTCTTCTAGGCTGATACTTGCATTTTCTGTGTTTCTTGCAGGGGACTCTGCGTAGATGCCCTCATTGAGCTCTCAGATGAGAATGCTGACTGGAAGCTTAGCTTCAATGAATTTTTGAAATGCCTCAATCCAGCCTTCAACCCACCAGAAAAAAGTAGGAGCACCTTGTCTGCACAGAGAGAGACTGAGATTCCTAAAAGAGTAGAAAGAGCAGAGAGATTTAGGGCTGGAAATGTGTCTCAAAAACCAGCCAGTGTCTTATCAACCTGTCTCTGATTAGTCATTAATCTTTAGTCTGCTCTATCATTATCCATATGTTATAAGCCACATTTCACACTAAGCCACAGGTTTCATTTACAGTGGTACCTCGGGTTACAGACTCCACTAATCCAGAAGTAATACCTCAGGTTAAGAACTTTACCTTAGGATGAGAACAGAAATTGCACGCCAGCGTTGCGGTGGCAGCGGGAGGTCCCATTAGCTAAAGTGGTACCTCAGATTAAGAACGGTTTCAGGTTAAGAACGGACCTCCGGAATGAATTAAGTTCGTAACCAGAGGTACCACTGTATATTGAGACAATATTCCATTCTCTGTGATCTTTCTAGAATGTGCCCTGGAAGATGAAACCTATGAGGATGGAGCCGAGACCCAGGTGGAGTGTAACCGTTGTGTCTGTGCCTGTGGGAATTGGGTGTGTACTGCCATGACCTGTGAAGGTATGTCAACCAAGGAAATCTCGGATCATTTTAGAACAATCTTTCTTCCCCAGAGGAAAGAAATGTGATGTCTGGACCGTTGGCTTTTTGCTCTAAGTACTTGAATGCAGAAGCAGTTCCAGATCAAAATCCCATGAACCATCCTTGGTCTGGGATCAGTTATTTTATAACCTGGAAATCGGAAAAATGTTGTTTTCGTGATAGAAGAGACCCTTCTCCCACTACCTAATATACTCTCAATGTACTATTCTGGTCACTTCAGTTCTGGGGACTACTTGGGCATTAATTATTTGAAGGCATCAAAGGACCATGGGAATTGGTTCAAAATGGAGTACAGTCGTACCTTGGAAGTCGAATGGAATCCATTCCAGAAGTCCGTTTGACTTCCAAAATGTTCGGAAACCGAAGCACGGCTTCTGATTGGCTGCAGGAAGCTCTTGCAGCCAATTTGAAGCCCCATCAGACATTAGGCTTCCAAAAATAGTTTGCAAACTGGAACATTCACTTCTGGGTTTGCGGCTTTTGGGAGCCAAAATGTTAGAGAACTAAGCTGTTCGAAAACCAAGGTACGACTGTATAAAAACCTGTTCCTCTTTTACCAAAGGAACCCTCCTGCAAAATTAGGTTACACTATCTTAGGAGATGGGACGCGGGTGGCACTGTGGGTTAAACCACAGAGCCTAGGACTTGCCGATCAGAAGGTCGGTGGTTCGAATCCCCACGACGGAGTGAGCTCCCGTTGCTTGGTCCCTGCTCCTGCCAACCTAGCAGTTCGAAAGCACGTCAAAGTGCAAGTAGATAAATAGGTACCGCTCCGGTGGGAAGGTAAATGGCGTTTCCGTGCACTGCTCTGCTCTGGTTTGCCAGAAGCGGCTTAGTCATGCTGGCCACATGACCCGGAAGCTGTATGCCAGCTCCCTCGGCCAATAAAGCGAGATGAGCGCCGCAACCCCAGAGTCGGCCACGACTGGACCTAGTGGTCAGGGGTCCCCTTTACCTTTACTATCTTAGGAGATGAAAACCTGTTCCTCTTTTACCAAAGGAACCCTCCTGCAAAATTAGGTTACACTATCTTAGGAGGAGCCCCAATGCACAGCAAACAGATAAACAAGCAGCTTTCCAAATATATAGGACATGTAAACATGACTCTTAGATTGTAATTTGTATCAAAAGAAAGTTCTGAAAAGCCAAATGTCAACTTAGCACTGCCAGTTGGAAACTAGGGAGAGCGACGGAATTTTGGTGGAATGGGGTGAGTGGAAAGACCGATCCCACGGTCTACTCCACATAGAAATAGAAATGTCCGATAGAAAAATGTCCACCCTTCCATGAGTGGAAAACAAATAATGGCAACACTAATAACTTAGGTGAGCAAAAGAAGAGAGGCTGTTTGCTCTTTTGTTCTCCCTTCCATAACAACCACAGATGCATTTGGTTTGACTCTGTTGAATGACATTAAATTCTTGATCTTGACCTGTGACCTCGCCTGTACCCTCAGGGTGGTCCATTTCCCCAAGGCTGCCCATGGCGGATGAAGGCCCAGCATACGCGGTCCAGGGTCCAGGGTGCAAGGCAGTTCCTTTTGAGAGCTAGAGGCCACCATGTCTTGTGAGAAAGGAGAAAGCTCCTGAGAAACTTTGCTGTTGCATATGGCTGAAGGAGGTGGGAGCTCGTGCCTTTGTTCAGCCAAAGCTGAGGAGGACATGGGTGAATTTAAACCACTTACCCTCCAGATCTAAGGCCAGGAGAGCAATTGGGAAGCTTGAAGAACTGAACAGGCAGGATAAATAGCAGGTGCTGCAACGCTGATGGCCAGGAGGGGGCACACAAAGCGGCAATAAACTCTAATCTAATTAGAAAATCTGCACCGCACTGCTGCCTTTGATCAGCTTAAAATTTGCATGTATTCAGCTGCCCAAACCCCAGCTCCTTTTTGATGGTATCTTATTATTATGCGAGGAGAGTCCCTTTTATTATGTTTCCTCTTACTGATCCCTTTATAAGGGGGAGAACTCCAGCTCTTTTATGTTTTAGTCTTGTAACCGTTCCTTCTGCCTCTCTTTGAATCTCACTACATGCCAGGCATAAAACTGATTATCTGCCTTCCCTTCATCATGTACTTTTACCTCTCAGTCTTTGACTGACCCATTCAATTTTCTCACTAACTGCTGCTGAAAAAGGCTGGTCTAACAGGATGACAGGCTGCCATGATGAGCTCATCAGCGAGAATTTTAAGTGGCTGCACCAAGTAGTAAGCAATTGCACCAAGTGGAAAACAGGGTCTAGTAGCGTGCTACTGTTTTACCTGAAGATTGCCCCAAGCTTGGGGAGGTTGTGTGAATGGTTGCAAGATACTTACCAAGGGGGTGGGGATGAGGGAAGAGAATGAGACAAATTGGTTTCATCATTAGTTCTTGGGTACATTAAGGAAGTTCATTTCAGTATTCTTGCTGCTTACCCCAGGGTTCTGCAGCTCCTGCAAAGACCACGAGTGGGCAGTTGGAATTGGGTTTTTGCAAAGGTTAGACTAATTTGGTGTGTCTATGAATTTCACCATGAACATCTCTATGATAGGATATGTATGGAGATATTTCTAAGCCAACTCCTTTCTCCTTGCTAGTATTCAACCTCAGTGGTTTCTGTCTTCTGGTCAACAAAGCCAACACTTTGTGTTAAATTTGATGTGGTGGTAGAATTTGCTCTGATCCTGTGACAGTTGTGTAATCCACTTATCCTTGTAGGCAAGAACCAAAAAGTGCCTTCTGAAGGGCAGCAGCCTGAAGATAAGATGACTGAAGAAGAACTGGCCAGATATGTTCAGGAGCTGCAAAAGCACCAGGTTGGAAGGGGACTGTAGAGATTTCTTTGCCTTACAAACACGCTGGCTATATATTTATTTCTATAGGTCTTTCTGCTGAACAGCTATAAGATTCTGTACCTATTGGAGGCTGCTGAGAATAACTAGGGATACAACAGAACTCCAGCCAGTTTTGTTTTAGTGACTTGCCTGGTCACCAAAGTCAAGAAGGAATTTTATGCAGGCAAATGGACAGAACCCCTTGCCCTGATCCTGGGTCCGCACTAGAGCTTTAACACATACACGAGTCACTGTTTACATGTGTACATTTGTGCACCTTTGTCCACACATAAGCACTTCCGGTTTTATGACTCCAAAATCCATTTTGATGTATCTTGTCAACACTAGTGTGCAGTGCTTGATGGGATGTATTTGTGTTGTGTTTTATAATTATAATTATTAATACTACTACTACTACTATTATTTATTAAATTTGTATACCATCCTTCCCCTGAAGATAACAAGGCATTTCACAATATAAAAAAGAGAACCCAAAATGCATAATAAAACAAAAACAGGAACAAACCAATATTTCACAAACACATTTAAATGGCCGTTGAATGTTCAGTCAGCCTAAGCCTAAGAGAAACATTTTCACCTGGTGCCTAAATATATGTAATGAAGGTGCCCGGGGAGCCTCTCTGGGGACAGCATCCCACAAATCAAGTGGCCCTGAGTACTAGTGTTACAAGAGAGAGGAAAACTTCCCTCAAGGGGGCCTTTGCAGATGGTTCATTATTGTTGTTTAGTCATTTAGTCGTGTCCGACTCTTCGTGACCCCCTGGACCAGAGCACGCCAGGCCCTCCTGTCTTCCACTGCCTCCCTCAGTTTAGTCAAACTCATGCTGGTCGCTTCGAGAACACTATCCAACCATCTCGTTCTCCATTGTCTCCTTCTCCTTGGGCCCTCCATCTTTCCCAACATCAGGGTCTTTTCCAGGGAGTCTTCTCTTCTCATGAGGTGGCCAAAGTATTGGAGCCTCAGCTTCACGATCTGTCCTTCCAGTGAGCACTCAGGGCTGATTTCCTTAAGAATGTTAAGCAGAAAAAGGTTGCTGACCCCTGACATAGACAAATACTCAAATCAGAAGTGTGATTCTGGGTCCTAATACAACAGTTCTGGAACGGAAACATTTTGAAAATTTGTTCCAGCTCCCTATTTAGCATGTTTTCATCCCAGACAGATCTTAGTGAGGTGGGGGAAGAACTGTGTCCTGTGGTTAATATAAGAACTGAGTATATAAAGCGGACCAGATAAGTAGGTTTTTCTTTCTGTGGGCCCCCTATCCTGGCACCAGCTTGTGAAATCACAGTGCAAGCGTTAGATTTCTCTCCTTTTCCTTTCCAGGAGACATCTGAGAAGACCAAGCGAACGGCCACCAAAGAGATGTAAGCGAAGCACGCAAGTGGAAGATGCCCGAAGCCGGTGTGTGTCGCCTGACTCACCCACCCGTCTTCCTTCAGTGCTGATTTCAATATGCAAATGTGTGTAGGACTTGTTGCCCAGTCACAGATATTTACATTGTATAGCAATGGGAGGGGGGGGCAAAGAAAAAGATAGGTTCTTTTAAAATTTAAGAGAAACCCCTCTGTATCATGGTTGTTGTTTTTTTTACAATGAGGAAAGGAACTGAACTGAGGGCATTAGTGAGGACCACAAATAATTCCATCTCTGGCACTTAGGGCGTGGCATCCCTGAGCTCCTATCCTGTGTGGGATCTTGCTGCCTCTCTTGAGTTTTGCTGACAGCCTAAAAGCTACTACCATAACTGCAGGGACTTGGAAAGGAAGTGCCTATGGCGAAGCATATATTCCATGGGATATTGCTATGCCTCACGATCTTGATAACTGGCTTTTCTGTTTTCACACATGAACAACTTTCACCCCGTCCTCCCTTTCCTGTCCATACTCTGCTCCCAAAGAGTATCTGGCCGTTCAGACTGGTTTACTGTGCCTGTGTAAGGGGGTTCCTGGTGAACACAGACCAAATCTCTGCCAGAAGCCAGACAGCCCACTGCATTGAGTTCCAAAGTGACCTCATTTTCTTCCCCTCTCTCTTTGCAAAGGTGCTACAGTATATTTTCTTATCACACTCTTACACTGATTCTTTTTTTTAAGTAATGACTTTTAACTGAGCTTTTTGTATCTTTGATTTATAGATATTGTTTATAGTTACTGAAAAATGCTGTACTTCTGGTTCGTGCTTTGTATTATAGCTGCATGTATCAAAGAAGTCAAATCGGTGCAGCCCAAAGAGGGGCTCAGAGCATATGGGGCCCTTCTGGATTTGATATTTCAGCATCCTTTATGGTAAAGAGCCTTCTTTCGTGCATGAATAGAGCTGGATGGGGTTTTCAAAGGAGACCCTGTCTCCCACAGGGTCAATTCTTCAAGGAAGGGGAGGGGGAGAATTATTCGCTTCAGGAAGAATTGAAGGCCAATCCTGTTACATTAAATGGAAGGAAATATTATGTCGGGCAAACACGTATAAGTTCTCCTCATGCTATGGAAGCAATTTTGGAACTGCAATCACTAAGATGTGTAAGTTCCCGGTGCTTCTTTACTTAGGGACTGGTTCTGTGACTCTTGCACAGCTGGGATATCCAAGCAGGTTGCTGACCTGAGTGCTGACACAACTTTTCCCATGCAGTGAAAGGAAAGAACCTCCAGCAAAGGAGGGAAGGAAAACACCAAGTAAAGGAAGGAGAATATGCAAACCCATCAATACATTGCATTTGTTGGTGTGATGCCAGAGACTGTTCCATGCTATTTAGGAATTTTGGCAATAAAATCAGGGGACTCAATCTCCCCACAGTGGTATAGTAAACATCAGAAGCGTTGTTTGTGCATATCTTTGAAGAGAAAACTCTATCCTAGATTGAAATTTCAAGTCCTACTGAATAGCCCCAATCTTTGGGAATATGTCCAAAAGTAATTTCCCCCATGTCGTTCCTCCCTGATGTAAATCTCCCACAACTGCTATTTGAATCAGTAGTGAAAACTTCCAGGGATTCAAACAGACTTTGACAAAAGGGAAAGGCAGGATCCGCCCCCCTCCCCATAACTGAATGGACTTCCTTAATGCATGCAAACTGTTGGAACCACTTTCTCAATTCTCACCACCATCACTTTAGGAAATATGGCCTGAGGATAGAGGGGGGAATTGTAAAGAGAAGGGTTAATTGAATTGTTGATTATAAAAATGTTAAAATCCAACAACCTTCAAAAGGTGCTAGTCAATAGATTTACTTAAGCCTATGATTTCAGGGGATTTAAGCATACTTAACCTAACCAGATTGTGCCCTCAAAATTCCAATAACCATGACCATGCTGTTTGTCTACACACGGGTGGTGCTGTGGGTTAAACCACAGAGCCTAGGACTTGCCGATCAGAAGGTCAGCGGTTCGAATCCCCGTGATGGAGTGAGCTCCCGTTGCTCGGTCCCTGCTCCTGCCAACCTAGCAGTTCGAAAGCACGTCAAAGTGCAAGTAGATAAATAGGTACCACTCCGGCGGGAAGGTAAACGGCGTTTCCGTGCGCTGCTCTGGTTTGCCTGAAGCAGCTTAGTCATGCTGGACACATGACCTGGAAGCTGTACTCCGGCTCCCTCGGCCAGTAAAGCGAGATGAGCGCCGCGACCCCAGAGTCATCCACAACTGGACCTAATGGTCAGGGGTCCCTTTACCTTTATTCCATCCCCTGAAAGCAGTATCCCACAACTTTAAAATCTACTAGCTTTCCCTTTCATCCTGAAGTTAAGGGCATTTTACTGTGCCATTTTAACTGCTAGGGTCTTCACAGGGCAGGAAGTTCCAGAGCAAAGGAGCAAATGGAGCTGTGCCTCTGCTGTTTGCCATTTTAGACTTGGTGCACAGATAGTACACTGAAGATAGAAGTTTTGGTAAATCCCATAGATTAGGAAAAGAGAAACTGGGGACAAATCTTAAGTATGTCACTTCAAGCTTTATAGGTCAATGCCAACATCTTCAGCAAGACCATGGAGAGGTAGTGCAAGTGCTGGAGCACCAATGTACTACATGCACAGCCACAGCTTGTTGGTAGGACACATGCTTGGTATGCAGAAGACACAAGCACAGTTCACAGTATGGATCTGTCCCAAACTGCCATGCTACAAAAAAAAGAAGAAACGTAACAAGCTCCACGAGTGACCCAATAGCGAACTGCAAAATAAAGAAAGGGGTGTTTCTATAAAGCTAGAATCCACCCAACACAGGATGGGTGAATCAGACCATTGGTCCAGCGAGCTCCTGGGCTTCAGGTGAGGGTATTTGCCGTCTTCCTCCCATCTGATCCTTTTAACTAGAGATGTTGCAGATTGAACCTGCCGCCTTCTGCATGCAAAGCAGGGATTCCACCACCGCTGTGCCCCACCCTCCTTATCTGGAGTCAGACCAAGGCTTCATTTCCCTCAGAACTGTCTACTTTGGAACTGCAACACTGAAGAGGACAATCAGGTTTAATTGCTAGTTGTCCTGAAACTTCAGAGCTGAAGAGCAGCTCGGTCTGCCCCATCCGTGAGTCAGAAGGCTGGTGGGTGTGAACTGTTGTTTTGTATTACTAGAACCTACTGCTTGTAAGCTGCCTTGAAAGTAATCTGATTGAACTTCTCACAGTAAAATGATGAAGGCATGTTTGGGAGACAACCCCTTTTCACCATCCCACCCCTGCACATGTCAAAACACAGCACCACTCTTATCCACTCGGGTCCCCACAACCTTCAGCCTAATCTCGGTCCAGTATACCTGAAGGAGCATCTCCACCCCCATTGTTCTGCCCAGATACTGAGGTCCAGCTCCGAGGGCCTTCTGGTGGTTCCCTCCCTGTGAGAAGCCAAGTTACAGGGAACCAGGCAGAGGGCCTTCTCGGTGGCGGCGCCCGCCCTGTGGAACACCCTCCCACCAGATATCAAAGAGAACAACAACTACCAAACTTTTAGAAGACATCTAAAGGCAGCCCTGTTTAGGGAAGCTTTTAATGTTTAATTGGTAATTGTATTTTAGTGTTTTGTTGGAAGCCGCCCAGAGTGGCTGGGGGGACCCAGCCAGAAGGGCGGGGTATAAATAATAAATTATTATTATTATTATTAATGACTTGCTAGATGACAACATCTTGAGTGCAGGGCTGCCTGGTCTCCGCTGGGCTTGTTAGGGTGGAAAGCAGGGAGCCCAACAGTAGGTGGAGCCAAAGCCAATGACAGGGGGACCCAATTCTCGCTGTGTCCCCCATCCTGCTCCCAGGCAAGTTCTGCAAAGGCAATGCTGAAAAGGGGCAACCTGGCAGGTAGTACCACCCACCTGGACTGGTTGTAAGCAAGGCAGGCAGGTGGGAGCTGACTAAGGATTGGTGGGGCAGGAGCCGTGTCTGGGCTGTAAACACTTCAGATTGCGGGGGGCAGCTGGTGCGATGGAATCTAGCTCCTTCCTACCAAAACCCAACAGACAAAAAAGGAAGCCCCGTGTCTGGAAAATGAGCGGGCCAGGGAATACTCTAGGCCAGGTCCCTCCTGTCTGATGTGCCCAGTCACCACTAGAGGTGGGAAGGTCGGGGGGGGGGGACCCAGGAAAATTGGGGAAAACCTATTTTCTCCCCCCAAAGCCGTTTTTTTCCATTTTGAAAGAATGGGGGGGGGACAGTCCTCCCCTATTTTTTCTGGGTTTCCCCCAGGCCTTCCCATCTCTAATCACCACCCCGTCACCACCTCCATGTCAGGAATGCCTAGACTTTCTTGTGGCAACAAGGATCTGGCATCTTTTAATAGAACGGCTGGTGCTGTGCTTTTTTTGTAATTATTTGCATGGTTCTAAGCGGGGGGTGTGCGTGTGTGTGTGTACACACATAGTTTTAATTGTATGTTTAATTGTTTTTAAATGATCCCCTATGTTTTTAATTTGCATGTTTTTATCTGTAAGCCACCTTGAGTCTCTTTGGGGGGAGGGTATAAGTAAATATATAATAATTTATCTGTGATCCAGAAGCTGCAGTTAGTGCAGAACGCTACAGCACACCTGCTGACAAGAGTGAGATCTTGTCCGCATAAAACACCTGGGCTCAGGTATCTGCACTGTTTGCTGATTTGCTGCTGGGCCAAGTTCAAGGGGGCAGGTGGGGAGGGAAGTGTACAGGTGACCCTCCACTGTTTTCATTTCTGCAGGGGGTTGAACTGCTGCAGGTGACACTTATGGCCCCTTCCCATTCTACACGTCTCTAATTCGATGACCCACCACTTCATCTTTTTGTAAACCGCTTTGGGGCAGCGTTGTTTTACAATGAAGCAGCGTACAAATTTTATAGGAGAAATAGATAAAACGAGAAAAACAAATAGGTAGGAAGGCAGACCCTAAATAGATAAGCAGGTAGATAAAATAAGAGTTTCTGCATTTTAACTTCTGCTCCGTTTTTAAAGCAACGTTGTGGATTTCCCTCAGTTTCACCGTTTCGTCTTGTTGTAAACTGCTTTGAAGGTGGTGGTGTTTTACAATGGCGTGTAAATTTTATGAAATAAATAGATAGATAAATGAGAGAAACAAGCAGATAGGTAGACAGAAAATAAATAGGTAGGCAGGTTTGTAGAAATGATGATGATGATGATAATAAATAGTAGTAATAATAGTAATAATAAAATCGTCATCTGTTTCAGTATTTTAACTTCTGCTGTTTTTAAAGCAGCGTTGCAGATTTCCCTCAATTTCACCGTTTCATCTTTTTGTAAACCGCTTTGGAGGTGGTGGTGTTTTACAATGGCGTGTAAATTTTATGAAATAAACAGACAAATGAGAGAAACAGGTAGGTAGACAGAAAATAAATAGGTAGGCAGGTTTGTAGAAATGATGATGATGATGATGATCATAAATAGTAGTAATAATAAAATCGTCATCATCTGTTTCAGTCTTTTAACTTCTGCTGTTTTTGAAGCCGCGCTGCCTTTTTCCCCCCGTTTCCCCGCTTCCTCTTTCCGACCACCCCTTTGGGGGCGTCCTTCGGGCGAGCCCCGCTTCTCAATCCCTCCCGAGGCGGGCGGGCAGGCAGGCGAGAGCGAGGCCCGAGGCCGAGGCGCCGCCCGGGAACCTGTGTAAGGCGCGCAGCCCCGAGGGCGGAGGCGGGTCGGCGGGCGCGGCGGGCTTGGCGCGCAGGTTCCGGGGCCTCCTCCTCCTCAGGCGGAGCGCGATGGCGGCGGAGCCGGGCCGGGCCGAGGAGGAGGCCGCGGAGGAGGAGGCCTCGCCTGCCGCCGCCGCTGCCGCTGCCGCCGCGTCCCCGACCCGCCGCCTGGCGCCGCCGGCCTCGTGGCTGTCTGCGGAGGGCGGCCTCCCGGCGGGTCTGGGCCGGCGCTTCCCGGCGCTGGAGGTGCTGGACGTGAGCGGGACGGGGCTGGCGGCGCTGGGCGCGGAGCTGCTGGAGCTGCCGCGGCTGCACACGCTGCTGGCCAAGAACAACCGGCTGGGCGCCGAGGGCTCGCTGCCCAAGGGCCTGGCCGGGGCCCCCCTCGCCCGCAGCCTGCGCGTCCTCAACCTCAGCGGCAACCGCTTCACGCGAGTCCCCGGCGCGCTGCTGGGCCTGCGCCGCCTCCGGAGCCTCAGCCTGGGCAGCAACCGCCTCCAGGGCATCCCGCCCGCCATCCAGCAGCTCAGCAGGTGAGCAGAGGAGGAGAGGGCCGAGGGAGAAAGGAGACCAGGACGCTGCGTGACCCCCGGACCGGGCTCCGAACCGCATTATTAATGATAATAATAATAATAATAATAATATTTTATTATTTGTACCCCAGCCACTCTGGGCGGCTTCCATAGAAACCAAAAGTACAGTAAAATATCACAGATTAAAAACTTCCCTAAACTGGGTTTCCCTCAGATGTCTTCTAAATGTCAGGTAGTTGTTTATTTCCTCGGCATCTGGTGGGAGGGCGTTCCACAGGGCGGGGGCCACCACCGAGAAGGCCCTCTGCCTGTGTCCCTGTAACCTCACTTCTTGCAATGAGGGAACCGCCAGAAGGCCCTCAGAGCTGGACCCCAGCAAAAGGCTGGGCGTTGCAGGAGGTTGGACTAGATGACCCTCGGGGTCCCTCCCAACTATAATTCTAGGATCAAAAAAAAAATCTTTAATGAAAACTAATTGGTTAAAAGGGACGTGGGTGGCGCTGTGGGTGGTGCTGTGGGGTGAGCTCCCGTTGCTCGGTCCCTGCTCCTGCCAACCTAGCAGTTCAAAAGCACGCCCAAGTGCAAGTAGATAAATAGGTACCACTCTGGCGGGAAGGTAAACGGCGTTTCCGTGCGCTGCTCTGGTTCGCCAGAAGCGGCTTAGTCCTGCTGGCCACATGACCCGGAAGCTGTATGCCAGCTCCCTTGGCCAAGAAAGTGAGATGAGCGCCGCAACCCCAGAGTCGGCCACGACTGGACCTATGGTTAGGGGTCCCTTGACCTTTACCTAATTTGTTAAAAAAGAAAAGAGGCTTTCAAAGCCTGCCCCCAGCAACACCAGCCAGAGGCTTCCCGGAAGGAGGTTCTGAGCGCACCAGTCTTCCTTCTGCTACTTGTATGAGACATAGCCATCAATGGCTGTTGTTGTTGAGTCGTTTAGTGGCGTCCTCCTCTTCGTGACCCCCTGGACCAGAGCACGCCAGGCACTCCTGTCTTCCACTGCCTCCCACAGTTTGGTCAAACTCATGCTGGTAGCTTCGAGAACACTGTCCCACCATCTCGTCCTCTGCCGTCCCCTTCTCCTTGTGCCCTCCATCTTTCCCAACATCAGGGTCTTTTCCAGGGAGTCTTCTCTTCTCATGAGGTGGCCAAAGTCTTGGAGCTTCTTGCTGGTCATTGACCGTATTAAAGATTTTGATTTTTTTTTTTTTGTCTTGGAGCTTCAGCATCAGGATCTGTCCTCCCAGTGAGCACTCAGGGCTGATTTCACTAAGAATGGAGAGGTTTGCTCTACTTGCAGTCCATGGGACTCTCAAGAGTCTCCTCCAGCACCAGAATTCAAAAGCATCCATTCTTCGGCGATCAGCCTTCTTTATGGTCCAGCTCTCACTTCCATACATCACTACAGTGGTACCTCGGGTTACAGACGCTTCAGGTTACAGACACTTCAGGTTACAGACTCCGCTAACCCAGAAATAGTGCTTCAGGTTAAGAACTTTGCTTCAGGACGAGAACAGAAATTGTGCTCCGGCGGCACGGCGGCAGCAGAAGGCCCCATTAGCTAAAGTGGTGCTTCAGGTTAGGAACAGTTTCAGGTTAAGAACGGACCTCCGGAACGAATTAAGTACTTAACCCAAGGTACCACTGTACTGGGAAAACCATAGCTTTAACTATATGGTCCTTTGATGGCAAGGTGATGTCTCTGCTTTTTAAGATGCTGTCTAGGTTTGCCATCGCCTTTCTCCCAAAAAGCAGGCGTCTTTTAATTTCGCGGCTGCTATCACCATCTGCAGTGATCATGGAGCCCAAGAAAGTAAAATCTCTCACTGCCTCCATTTCTTCCCCTTCTATTTGCCAGGAGGTGATGGGCCCAGTGGCCATGATCTTTGTTTTTTTGCTGTTGAGCTTCAGACCATATTTTGCGCTCTCCTCTTTCACCCTCATTCAAAGGTTCTTTAATTCCTCCTCACTTTCTGCCATCAATGTTGTGTCATCTGCATATCTGAGGTTGTTGATATTTCTTCCGGACCGTACAGGTCCTTTGCACCGTGTTCTTTCCAAAAGTGGGTAGTGTTGTGAATTGAAATTCTGAGCTGAGAGAAATCATTACTATAAACTTTTTGTGTCGCTTTTCTCTCTGTCTTCCAGTTTGGAGTTTTTGTACCTTGGAGGAAACTTCATTACTTCGATTCCACCAGAGTTGGCTAATCTGCCTTTACTCAATTACCTAGTCCTGTGTGACAACAAGATACAGAGTATTCCCCCTCAGTTGGCACAGTGAGTATTTTGAGCAATTTAACTGTTTTGAATATATCTAGCTCTTCAGAACCTGGTAACTCCTGCTTCAGCAGGTATTTGTGTGTAGGAAGAAGCATGCAAGGTGTTTTGTTGTATGTGCAAGCCAGTTGTGATTAGCTGTGGCTTCACAGCACGCTTATGTCGCAAGCATATTGTGCAATTGTGTCATATGACAATCTGCATGCAATTTGTGTGCTATAGGAAAAGTCTCTAAATGAAATCATGCATCTTAATCTCATTGATGTGTACTGTTAAATTTACACAAAAATGGCAATACTGGATCTTGCAGTAATTCCTTTGGATTCCTTTGGATTTCTCATTAGTCTGTTTAGGGCTGTTTTGTCTATGCAGTTTTGCATTCTGTATCAGCCATGTTATTTTGACACCTTTGAATGGTTTGGAAATAATCTCATGCAGACCTGTGAAGGGAAAGGCGTTATGTATGATCTGAAGTTTGAAGTGAGGTTATCACAGCAACAAAAACCAGGATGTAAGCCGTTGGATCAAAGCAGCAATCCAATGCCCTTTGAACATACAAAGCGCTTTAAACATACTGCATATGTTTGGGTTCTTGAAAGGAATTTTCAAGGTCTAATCCCGGAGACTTAGGCTCTCCTGCGGAAAGTGTAAGGGAAAGAGGGACCGGAGGTCTGGAATTCTGGTATTGCCTTACCCCAGGTTTTCTGATGTTTGGTTTCCAGGTTGCATTCCTTGCGCTCCCTTAGCCTCCACAATAACCTGCTGACATACCTTCCTCGGGAAATCCTCAATCTGGTTCATCTTGAAGAATTGAGTTTGCGTGGGAACCCATTGGTTGTACGATTTGTCCGTGACTTGACCTACAATCCTCCAAGTCTCCAAGAACTGGCTGGACGCACCATTAAAACCCGCAATGTTCCTTATGTTCCTAGTGACCTCCCTGGGAATCTCCTCCGCTATTTGAGCCTAGCCAGCAACTGCCCCAACCCTAAATGTGGAGGTATGCCCTATTCCCTGTTCTTGTGGGACATTCCTCCTACCTTCTTGCACAAGTATACAGGCACCAGGAGAGGACTCACAGCCACTTTGTTCCTCCCTGTTCCTTTTTACTGCCATGATAAGCCAACCTAAGGTTTGATAAAACATGTTGCCATAGTTACACACTTTCCTTAGTGACCATGAGCAACATTCAAGAGCAAACCTTGGCTGCAGCTTGTGCTAATCATAAGTTTTGGCTTGGATGACATGCAAAGCCCAGCCTTGACTTGACTTAGGGCCCAAATTGCTCAGGCTTATTTCTAAAGCTGACGCATGAGGAACTAACTTGCTTTTCACATGTGACGTTACTCAGTCAATTTTATTTAATATTAGGGCATAGCAATTTAAAGACTAGTACAAAATATATCCCTGTCTGCATAGGAACCAATGATAAACAATGGACCCTCGGGTTACATTACCGTCGGGTAACATAACTTTCGGGTTGCAAACGCACTTCCAGGTTTTGCCGCACACTCTGCGTGCCGCATGCATGCGCAGAAGCAGCTCCTCATGTTGCGGACTTTTCAGGGTATGCACGGACCCCCAGAACGAATTAAGTTTGTATCCGGAGGGTCCAGTGTACTTAACAAACTAGCCCTCAACTTTCAGTAAGGCAACCTTGCATTTTTCTTGCCCAGAAAAAAATAACTTTTCTGGAAGATAATTTGGAGAAATAGGTGTTAAATCAGAACTGTGAGAACTTCAGTTCATTTAGGAAAGGAGTCATCACCCTTTTCAGAACAGAGACTGAGGCTGCAGTCCTGTACACATTTACCTGTGAATAAGCCCCAATGAAGTGAAGAGTAGACTTGAATAGAATTGTGTCAACAGTGGTTAACTGCAACATGCACCATGGGACTTTATTTATTTTACTGTTTACATCTATCTTTCTCCATCTCTGTCTCTTCCCCATTTGTTTTTCTCCTACTTCCTAGTAGGATTTGTTTTTGTCATCAGTCCACCTAGTGCAGCAGTTGGCAATCAGTAGTCCCCTTTCACCTGTTTATTTAAAATACCTTCCCATCCTCAAGAGGGAAAAAGAGAATGGTGCCACTAATTCAACCTAGTTAGGATGGGTCATAACCCACTTCTGCTTTCTGGCCCATCAATTTAAAACCAGAGACAGCCTAAATCAGCAACAGTGTTTTCCTGTTTGTTAGTGCCTTTTGAAGAAAGATAATTAGGGTTTCATCTAAAATAGCACTGAGTACAGTAATGTGTAATCAGCACAAAGATTTTGCTTGTGCAATAGGACTTCCCCCCCTTCCCCTGTGCACCCCTTCAGTCTGTTAAGGGGGTTCCCCCTACCCCTTAGGAACAGATTTGGGGCGGATGCAAGGGAAGAAGAGGGGGGAAGTCCCATTGTGCTAATGGAATTCCTTGTGCTGACTGGACACAGTTGAATATTGCATAGGAATTATGCAAATAAGATACATGCACACTTTAACTACAAATATGAAAGCATCTGTTGTCTTAAACTACGTTTCTTTTGCCCATAGGAGTCTATTTTGACAGCTGTGTCCGACAAATCAAATTTGTGGACTTCTGTGGGAAGTACCGCCTTCCTCTGATGCACTACCTGTGCTCGCCAGAGTGCTCTTCCCCCTGCAGTTCTGCATCTCAAAGTTCTACTTCCCAGAGTGAGTCTGATTCAGAAGATGAAGCCATTGTTGCAGCACGCAGGATGCAAAAAGTTCTTCTTGGCTAGGAGAAGGAAGGAAAAGACTAGATGCGAATCGTGTTAAGAAAAGCAGTTGTGGAACTATGGTGTCTGGTGCTGTGCAAGAGACATCCTAGGAACCTCACCTTGACCTGTCTCTACTTTGTGGCTCATAGAAATGTGGGTGGCCAAACAGAATAGTTGGGGCAGTGTGTCCTGAGAGGCTAAAGTTACTTCGTGCATTTGGGTGGAAATTGACACAGGATCGTTTGAAGGTAATGCTATTGGGGAAATAATTCTAGGGTTAGATATTTCAGGACTTTTTGGCACTGGGGACCAGTTAAAAGGGCGCTTTGAGTGCTTCAGTACTGAGACTAAGGATGAAGTAGACTGATCTTTGTCACTGTGATAAAACAAATAATGATATGATAGTGCAGGGTGGAAAGAGTGCTAGCATCTGCATCTGCCATACTTGAACATTTCTCTCTCTCTCAGTGGAGGTGCTTGGTCTTTATTTTTAACAACATTCCTCCAAAGGACAGAAATATCTTAATTTTGATACTGCTTTGGCTGGGTTCACTGCCTATAACCAGGTGTTCTGCTCTAGTAACAGAACTATGCTTTTCTTTATATTACACTGCTTTGCACTACAGCATTAGTGCCTTCTTTGGACTTCCTCCTTTTTGTTACAGTTGCTCCATCACTGGCCTTATATAACTATCTGTGATAATTTGTGGACCAAGAATTACTTGCCCTGGTCTAAGTCCATCTGAAGCAAAAGTGTAACTAACTAGTAAATTGCAAACTAATCCTTTACTTCCAACTTGGTTCTTACACACACAGGTGCCATTCTTTAAGAATTTTATGCTTTCGACAATATTTGCTCAAAGAGCATAGCTACGTCGTAAACTTCGGTGGTTACAATAATATGATGCCTTGCAGCTGTATAACTCTGAAGAGCAAGCGTTTCTACCAATACTACAATGTTCCCTGTTCTCTTCAAGGCAAAGGTTTTTTATGTCATACACTTGGCCCTTTTCTCCTTCTTGCAACTCAGTTTGCCTTTCTCATATAAGTTTTGGCTTCCTGTGGATTTTGCCCACTTCTGTGCTTATCTGTCACTGTTGGAGATTCTATCATGTACAGTAGGCAAGTGTTTAGCCTCTGTAGAATATTTTTTACAAGTATTTTTTAAAAAATTCTACAGAATAACAGACAGATAGGAATTTTCATTGATCACTAGAGATCTCGCTAGCTCTAACAGTTGCCAACGTCACACAGCTCTCAGTTTCGATAGATCTGTAAATTCAAAGGATGTGCTGCCACTCTCAAGTGACAGGTGTTTTCACACACCTTTTACCTGTTTCTGTCACTTGTTTTTGTTGAAGATCCACAGTGACTTTTCTCAAGATTTTCTGCTTTCGCTGCGCAGAGAGTTCATTTTTTGAACAAAGGATTTAGTATTGTGGGCTAATGCTGAGAAAAGTTATCTATTTGCAATGGAAACACTGTTTTGAGGAATTACATTTGGATTGGGTACTGGGTCTTGGAGAAGAGATCACGTCTGGAAAAGCCCTTAGCAGAGAGCAGTTGGGTGAGAAGGGAATCCTCCTACTGCTCCTGTAGACAGGGCTATTAGGAAGAGTCTAGAGAGGCGAGTGCTTGTGATAAAGTTTGGATCTGCATGCAGTTCTGTTTCTACCCATCTCTTGACATTCCTGTGTCTAGTGAAAGCTTTGTTTAGAATGGATAGATCTATGGAGGAACATGAACACACTTAGCAGAGTGGATGCTTGTGGTCTCTTGAGTATGGAATAATATTCATTCTTTCCTAGAATTTCCTAATGTGCTGATCCTTCTCCATACTGATGTTGGAAGTGTTCTCTTGGCGGTGACCCACAAATACTCATTCTTATAATAACATAAATTGCTATTATTTCCAGCTGAAGAATGAGCATTTTCCCTTTTCTGATTTGATATTTGACAGCAGTAAATCTGACCTCCACCACCCCACTTCCACCCCCGCTTCTCTGCTTCATTTAGCCTTCGATTCCATGGTGGAAGAAAGGCAGGATATACATATTAGAAAACAAATCAAATCACCCCACTTCTAGTTCAATAACATACAGTGAAAAACCCCCACAACTTCATAGCAGCGATACCAAATTAAATCTTGTTGCTTGAGCCATGAATTATCAGCGTGTTTCCTTATTAGTGGTTCTTATGTAGGATTGAATCTGTGAATAAATGAAGTAAAAAAAATGTTTGATACATACTGTTAGCCCCACCCAGGCACACTTCTTATCTTGATGAATTTTCTAGCATCTTTGAAAATAAGTATAGAGAGTATATACTTTCCTTTCCAACCCTTAATATGTGAGATTATTCTGATTTGGTGTTCAGAATACTAGCTAAAGCTGCTGTCTTTATGAATCTTCACTACCAAACAGGCATTTTTAGCCTTCATCAAAGCATTCTCATTGCTTTAGCTACTATTCTCATTTCAGCTAACTCTGAAAGTGAATAAATAATTCCATTTTTCCTGCTGTTTCTTCCTCCTGCCATCTCTTTAGCCAAAAAGCAACAGATGGGCTGTTTGTAAATGCAAGTGTAATGTTTTAAGATCAGTAGGGAAGGCTTTGAGGACAAAATAGCTACTTGACTGGAAGCAATTTATACAGTTTCCAGTCTTCCTGCTTCTCTCTGGTTAGGATTTGCAGGATTTGTAGAATCTTTCAGTATCCCTTCAAAGGTAATCATGCACTTTCTCATGGGGCTCTGAATGGCCTTCCTGATCTTTTTCTCTTTTTACTGAAAGCTTATTTGGATCGCTTGGCAAGAGGGAGATCCTGGTCCTCTTTAGTTAGTGGCAATGAATGGGAGGGATTTAACCGATGGGAAGTAATGAAACTTAATCCTTACAGTGCTGCTTTGTTACTGACTTCAAAGAGTCATTTTAATCATCTTAAACTGCACCAGTAAGATGTTTTTCACTGCTTGAAAAAGCTCCTTGGGCACTTCAAACAGATGAGCTGGAGCGTGGTGTGGTTTGAAAATAATTCCCATCTTCAAAAAACTTTCCAGTCAAACTACGTTGCTTGTTTATCTAGCATGCTTGATTGCACAGTGAACTCTGATCCAGAGTTTTCACCTAATTCTCTCGTTAAATGTAATCATGTGCCTTATATTTGCTTTACCAAGTTTTAAAGGTGCCTTGTGTTTGTATAACTTCACTTTGCTAGATATGCAAAGTTCTGTATTTCTAAAAGGATGTCATTATGAATTGTTAAGGAGCTTTTGAACACTAAATCAAATAATTATTTAAAACTTGCACCTGACTCTTAAGTGTCTGTTTTGCCCTTATGTGAAGTAATTGTACCTGGATATATGTGCTGCAAAACGCCCACCTCCCCCAGTGAGAGATCTATACTGTATATAATTTTAAAATATTTTTGTTTGTGAGGAGAAGTGTCAAACAGCTTGGCTGGTGTTCCAGTGTTTGGGATGGATTCAACTAGTGAGTCTTGCTAGTGGAAGCTAGCAAAGTGAAAGGATAGTTCCCTCCCCCTTCTCCCTGTCCCCCCACCACCAGAAAAAATGGGTTCTTTTCTGTATTCTGCTAAAATAATATTTTTTACCACCTCTATTTATAACCTGCCTTTTGACCTGAACACCCTCAAGGTGGCTGACAAATTAGTATAAAAGCGCAGGGCATAATTTTCCACAGCATAATTTTCAGAAGTACATTTCGACTTTACTCTAAGTGTGTGTGATGCAAGTATTTTTCCTCCCGTTGAAGATAGGTGGAAGGGAACAAATGAAATAAATTTGCCACACTGTGTTGGAATAGTGTAACACAACCTCCAATCACAACACACACCTCCAGCAGGCTATAGACTCGGAAAATGCAGTAATGGGCCAATTTCTCTCTAGCCATGTGTCATGTATCCTTGAGTTTGCAAAGGCAAACTCTGTTGATGGGTAGTTATGGAGAAAGCGCACTTTAGCACAAGGGACCACTTTGCAAAATGTTTGGCTCCTGAGCTCACCTGGGAACCTGTGCCCATTGCAAACATTTCCCCTGGAACTGCTTAACAGGTTCCTTACCTTGGATAACGTCTGCAATATCTGGGTAACTCTTACTCTCTCATAAGCACTTATTGTGCATGCAGCTTCAGAGACTACTTGCTGCAGCTGCTGTCGGTTGTTGGTTGCTCGGCCCATGCCATCCCCCAAAACAATGGTTTGTAGATTTCTTCAGCGTTTACAGTGAAGATTATTGGTTTATCTTCCCTGTATTCCTTCTAATACTCTTTAACACCTTTATCTAATAATCCCATTGCCTCTTCATCTGGTTATCTTCTATACAGTCGTACCTTGGAAGCTGAACGGAATCCTTTCCGGAAGTCCGTTCGCCTTCCAAAATGTTCGGAAACCAAAGCGCGGCTTCTCATTGGGTGCAGGAAGCTCCTGCAGCCAATCGGAAGCCGCAGAAGCCCCATCGGACGTTCGGCTTCCAAAAATAGTTCGCAAACCGGAACAGTCACTTCCGGGTTTGTGGCGTTTGGGAGCCAAAATGTTTGAGTAGCTGTTCGAAAATCACGGTACGGCTGTACAGTATATTTAAAAGCATTGTTTCAATACATGTGGGCTTGCAACACAATTTTGATGTGTAGAGTTCTCTTCTTTGGTGTCCCAGCAAGCCAGCCATGCCCCGTTTTAGAACATACGTTCCTTATGAAGCCTGTTTTTTTCTTATTTCTGCCACCCTCCCCAACCCTTCCAGTAGTCAGCCAGCATTGCATGGCAACTGAGCATGCTCAGCCCTCGCTGATCTGTCCCCCCCCCCAATGTTTTTTAATTATTCTCTTGTTTATGCAAAGTTTAGGGTTCTCAAAGCTCAGTGACACTTTTCTCTTGTATGTGGATAGAAGTGTTTTGGTTACATAAAGATTGCCGTTTGAAAAAATTAGTTTGCTAATTGTATACAATCTCTGTAAAAGTTTCTTTACCGAATTCAATTTTTAGTTCAGTCTAAACAAAGTAGG